ACATTTACCGCTATAATCATTTCAGCTCTGCTAGATTGAATCCCAGTAGCATGCCTCCTGGAAGCTGACGAACCAGCAACACATAATGCCTACACCAGAATCATTAAATTTATCATAGTGCAATAGATATTATGTGTCAATTTTGACAATCAAAGAAATTGCTAGGTCTCTCATAACTAAATGGTGCTAATAGAAGCCAGAACTAACATATTGATAACTATACCAAAGAGAACTACCTGAATTTCAATAAGGAAACTTCGAGAGCCATCCATCATTACAGTCACAGCTAGTCCAGCCAAAACATCAGATTCCAGGTGCTGCTCACTTAAGAATATCTCACTTGGATTGGAAACAGCTTGCAAACCCGATTGACACATTTCGAATACCCCCAGCTGAAAGCATGAATGGTGATTATTAAGAGCATAGTCATGACTGAAAACAGCATAACTTGAACATGATAGTTATTGATCACCAGCAAAGGTAACTCGGGGTCATTATGTCAAGCCCCGAGTTAACAAAATACGACAGTATACTCACTAGAAAGAATTTTTAAGTAAAAGCAGGTGATAATATCAACAATATTGCACACCTCATCAGTAGACCCAAAACGATTCTTCACCGGCCGGAGTAGACGATGAGACGAGGACTTCTCCCCCTGGTACACAGTGAGGCAAATTTATGATCAACAACAGCATGTATTCACTATTTGAGCAGGAAAGCAAGGTGAATGAAAGAGTTCAGGCATCCGTTCGACCAGTTGCCAATGTTTCTGTGACAGTATAATAAGTAGTCACATGATATTCGACACACATTACTGTCCATCGACCAATCGACTACATTACCAGCTTCAAATTATACACGGGTCTTCCCTTTTCCATTTTGCAACCACGAACAAGAGTAAAAAGACATATATGATAGAGCAGAAGGTAGGAACCTCCACATAGAGAACAACATCAACAATGTGCTCCAAGACACGCGGCCCTGCAATTTCCCCAGACTTGGTCACATGTCCGATCTGCAATAGAAAGACAACAAAAGGGAACAACATGAATACAACAAAGTCCCTGTCTAAATGGACTCAAAGGGGGAGGTATTCATTGACCAAGATGGAGCACAAACAGTTTGGTATATTGCAAGAGAAAGTATTGGTCGATGCCAAATGTTCGATTGGAGAACCAACATTAAACTCCATTTAATATAGTACATTGCAGTGATCCATTAGATTAACATCTCTTTTTTTTTTTTTCCTGCTTAGCAGCGTTGCAAGTCAAACATGAATTTTAGATAATAACCGAACTGTGTGTCTAGAGCTTCGGGCTCCCCAAATATACCTTTCCAGTCCCAAGGCAATCACCTTTTTATATTTCTGTTGGGAGCAAGGTGTTTTATTTTGAAATATTGGATGTAAGAAAGTCGCTCTATGGAAAATATTAGATAAGGTCCACTAACTTTCAAATCAAGAATAAAGCTGTTCCGTAGATCAGAAAAGAAACAAAATACAATTTTAACACATTGAGCTCGCTTCCCTTATAGAACCAAGTTCAGATCCAATCTAACAATTTAAGCATGGTACATTTAGGGACAAAGAAAACTCACCAACAGAACTGGGATATCAGTTCTCTTTGCAAACCGCAACAGAGCTGATGTGCATTCCTTGACCTGACAAAACAGAAATTCAATTATTATTAATGTTGAGGTGAAGCCATCAACCGAGCTGATGTGCATTCCTTGAATACTCATTTGTAGGGAACATGGATTATTCAGGAAGCACCTTTTCACAGCTAGAAATGGAAAAAAGAGGAAAAACTACTACACCTATATTAGTGCAATAAAAACTACAACTAGCAAGTATGATAATCTTAACTGGCAGACATTCAGCCCATAAGAGTAACAAATACTAGCATTGGTTAGGATTCATAGACACAATTGTTAATAAACCATGAAAGCTTCAACAGATAAAAGATAAAGAGCATAATTTGACAGATAGTAACCTACACAACACATTTGCCAACCTGTGTTAATCCGCCAGGACTTCCGATAACTCCATTAAGGTAAACTGTTTGAATCGAATCAATAATCAAAGCACGAGGAGATAGATTCTGAATTTTCTTCATTATGTCCTGGAAGAAGCAAAAGGAGGAACTTTGAGATCAAATTTTCAAAAGCATATCACAAAGACATAAGAACAAAGCTTCCTTACACTGAAACAAGTTTGAGAATATCTACCTCAATTTCAGTGCTTGAATACAGGTAAAGGTCCTCTGATCCAATTCCCATACGGTCAGCTCTGTTTCCTATTTGCTGAACACTCTGCAACAACCCGAAAAGGAAAAAGGGTAGATAGAACATGCAACTCACTTTTTAGATCAGTAATTACAAACATAAAAAATGAGGAAAATTTTGCACCAAGATAATATAGATGGAACTCTTTCATGGACAATAAGATCAAAATTATCTTCATATAGAACATAGATATGGCCTTCTGAAGATGAAGCAGAACAATCAGTCATGAGTGCATGCCTTCCACTTCACTTTGGCAACTTAGACTAGTTAACGAAACTGAAAGCGGTTTTCAGTGTAAACATTAACCTCTTCCCCAGAGACGTAAATAACTGGAGCTGGTTTCCCAATGCCTTGTCCTTCAGCTATGATTGCAGCTAGCTTCAAGTTCAAAGAAGTTAATGTGAGATAAAACACTTAACAGAAAACTCGTATCTACTCAAGTTGAGAACATTAGATTAACATTTAGATGAATTAGATGAGTAATACCTGCAAGATCAATGTACTCTTTCCAACACCAGGATCCCCACCAACCAAGACCAGAGAACCTACAGTCCATTAAACTCCAGTAAGTATACTACAGTATTCCATGCTCAGAAAGACGATGACTTGAGAGAGACCATAAATGGCCATTGGCCAAGAAGCACTATTTTGCTTTAAAAAGTCGATCGGGGATGCTTCAATCAGAAATCACTTAGGATTCATGAGAGAATATCATAATTGGAAAACAGGAGTTCAAACACACAGTCCCATAAGGTCTTCAAGAAAGTAAAAGGAAGACTCCAGGACCAACAATCAAGTATGTACACCACTAAGACAACAAATCCGAAAGAAGCCAATAATAGTCTAATGTAACTCATTGGTGCAACCAAATGTCAACAAACCTGGGACAAGACCCCCACCAAGAACTCTAGCCACTTCATCTCCAAAAGGTCCAGGCCTGAACAATAGTAACAACCAGTCTAGCGTGGATCATTACAACAGAAGATTCAAACTGCAACAAAAGGAAATCAATTACATGCAACTAACAGACGTTCGAAAGTCGCAGGATTCACCACTAAGCAATAAAAAGTGCTGTCAAAAACAGCACACGAAATGCACATTAGCGAAATGTTGGTCAGTAGCTGTAACATATGAAACCAAACAGCAATTGGAGTAAGCTGAAGAACAAGAACAAAAAAAGTTGCAAAAAAATGGCAATTGTGTACTACAGAAGTAGGATGAAAGCTAACTATTCAAGTCTTACGAGCCAACGGCCTTCTTCATCAAACCCAGACAGAAACTCCACCAAATGTAATTTCCAGACTACACCTAGTCATTCAGTAAAAGTAAATGGAGCAAGAAACAACTGATATGACTTGACGTTCAACCAAAGAATCAGAAGCAACAGCAAATGGAGATTATGAACCGACAAAGAAACAGAAAGAAAAGACAGCAACAATAACAACAACTCACAGAGGGATCCGCCATTCCAAATGATTCACATCTCTGTTCACGTCTGCCAAACTTACTGGGTTCACCTCTCCAGCCTGTTGAGGCAGCCAAGACTTCACCATATTTTCCGAGGCCACAATGCCACTAACCTTGTCTCCATTGCCACCCCCCGTTTCAGAGAACTTCTTCATCGTCCCAGCACTGTTACAGGAGCGACAATATCCCCACCATTGCCCTTCTGTATTGCCACAGCTCTCACAAACATAACTAGTTCTAACCTTCTCCTTCTTACTTGTGAGTGTATATCCCGACTTCACTCCCCTGACGTAATCCACCTTCTTCCCATTTGCATGTTTGTTCACATTCTCTACAACCCCGCTATCACCAATACAAACAGGAAGTCCCATCCTCGATTTATCTTCGGTGCTCAGATTCCCATTACTCACACTACCAGCTCTATTTTCCTGCTTTCGAACACTTGAACTCGATAAACTATCTCGATTATGATCTCGATTTACCACACTCCCATTTACATCCACGAGATGCTTTCCATCCAGCCCACCGCCCGACTTTCCCCGCTTTGCACCTCCGTAAGTTCTATTCCTCTCCAACTCCTCGAGCTCCGAAACATAACCCGAAAACGCAGGTTCCGGTTCGCCATCGTTCCTCTTTACCGGATCGAACCCACCCCTCACCGGATTGTAAACCCTACGGAACTGAGCACTGCCGGAGTCACTTCTGCTCCCGCGCTCTGTTACAGAAGAATCGAACGCAAACGGGGAGTCTCCAGCTCGGACTCGACTGGTTGAGAAGTGGAATTGAAGAGAAGGGTGTGAGCCCCGTGGTGAAATGAAAGGAATGGAGTCGGTATACTTGCTTGGGTTGCTGAAGCGAATGCCTCTTGGAGAAGGAAATGATCTTAAGCAGTTCATTCTGTAACTGTAGAGTGATCGCAGGAACTTCATGACCGAGAAATAGGAATGTGCAAAACCCTAACCAGAAGGTTACAGGAGATGTTAGGTTTGCTGCGGAGTATGGAAAACCCCGCGAAGGTCATGAAGGAGAGTGATTTTTGAACTCGCCGTAGTCTATGGGATTGGTCGGACTCGGGTCGGACTCCGGAGTAGGAAATAGAAAGTAGAAACGGACTAGTTTGCAAAAAGCGTCGAAGTTTAGGCGGGCATAATAAACCAAAATAATAAACTTTAGGTCTTAAACTGGAGTTTATCTAAAAAACAAGTAGTGAAAAGGAAAGAAACGTAGATTCCAAAAGGAAAACCAGAACACGGGACAGAGGAGCAATGCCTATTTCCTCCTCGACAGAAAGAAACAGAGGGGGAAAACATACTGGTTGGTAAGCTTTCAACTTCTTCCCGCCGACGTCTTTCTTCCGTTTCACTGCTGCGGATTCCGTCCGTTCCAAGCGATCTATTTATCAAAATTCCGAAGGGACCTGACAAACAAAGAATTCGCAGATTTGGGAATTATTCAACGGTTTGAGTTATTATCAGAAGAAGATCGGCGATTTGGGTTGATCCGAATTAGATGTCGGCAGACGAGGATGCCGCCGACGCGGTGTTGAGCGACGTCGAGGAGGAAGACGATCCGATTCCAATTGCCATACCGAGTCCGAGCCAAGAAGACGTCTCTGTCGAGAGGTTTCGCGAGCTCGCCGGCGAGCTGGAGCGGGAGCGAGCGCTACGCCAGGCTGCCGAGGATTCGAAATCTGAGCTACAGGACAAGTTCCTCCGGTTGAAGTCTCTAGCGCATGAGGCAATCAAGAAGCGAGACGAATGCGCGAAGCAACGAGACCTAGCTGCCAAGGAAAAGGAGGAGGCTCTGGAAGCCAAGGGGAAGATAGCGGAGGAATTGAACCAAACAAAGAAGTTGCAAGATGAGGTAATGAAGCAGAGAGATGAGTTCGCTAGGCAGCTCGACGAAGCTGTTAAGGCGAGGGATGGATTTCAATCGGAGATGGAGAATTCACGGCACATGCTGGTAAGTGGCATTGAGAAGATTTCTGGTAAAGTTAGTAGTTTCAAGAATTTTGCAGCGGCTGGGTTGCCGAGATCTCAGAAATACTCTGGATTTCCTGCTGTTGCTTATGGGGTGATTAAGAGGACCAATGAGATAGTTGAGGAGCTTGTTAGGCAGATTGATGCCACAACGAAATCTAGAAATGAAGCTAGGGAACAGATGGAGCAAAGGAACTATGAGATTGCCATTGAGGTTTCTCAACTTGAAGCTACTATAGGTAGATTGAGAGAAGAGTTGGAGAAGAAGAGTTCTTCGGTCGAGAGTTTGGAGAAATCCGTTGCGGATAATCATGAGAAGCTGCTAGAAGTTGAGAGGCAGCTATCTGAGAAGACCCAAATGGATGAGAAGCAAGCTGCAGAGACTAGGCAGCTAGTTAGTGAATATGATGAGAAACTGAGGAAACTGGAAACTGAGATGGAATCTTTGCGGCCTTTATTGGTTGATCAATTGAATTTGGTTGCACAAATTCACGATCAGCTTTACGATGTTATTAAGATAGTTGATTCAAATCATTCAGATTCAGACTTGTCCGAGTCTTTGTTTCTTCCACAACAAACAGATATGGGGGAGAATCTCCGTGCTTCGGTTGCTGGCATGGAATCAATTCACGAGCTAACTAGAATAGTACTTGAGAAGGCAAAGGACTGGACAGCGGAGAAGATTCATGAAGTGAAGAAGTTGAATGAAACTGTTGATCAATTGAATAAAGAGAAAGAACAAATCAGCTCTTTACTAAGGAGTGCTTTGTCCAAGCGGATGGCATCAGACCCAGCTTCCAGAACAAATGAATTATTTCAAGCTGCTGAGAATGGTTTGCGAGATTCTGGAATCGATTTCAAGTTCAATAAGGTCCTTGTGGCTTCTCAAGATAGCAATGGCCCACCAAACACGGACGAGGATGAAATCTACACTCTGGTAATTGTTTGTTTGGTATTAATGTTTTCATATATCCTTAGGACTTCGACTCATTGATTTATGTACCTGGATGCGCTTGAATCTCAGGCTGGAGCCCTGGAGAATATTGTGAAGGCATCCCAGCTTGAGATCATTGAGTTGCAGCATTCAGTGGAGGAATTAAGGTACTCTTGAGCTGCATATAGATAAGGGAGGATTTGTTATAGATGGTTATCAGCTGGTTTTTTCTGATTATGTTTGCTTTTTCCATTTAAGGGCAGAGTCAAGTTTACTTAAGGAGCATATAGAGGGTCAAGCCAAGGAATTAGCTTATAGACTGCAGAGAATACAGGAGCTTGAGGAGAAAGAGAGAGTGGCAAATGAAAGTGTAAGTTATGATAGTCTCTTTGATGGTTTAATCTAATGTATTGCTTCATTGGAGCTTCTATGAATACCGGATACTATTTGCTTGATTATACAAATTATGGTGTATAATTGAGAATATTACTATTTTGGTCTTATTACTCATCTCTGCTTGCATATTATAGGTTGAAGGGCTTATGCTGGACATTGCTGCTGCTGAAGAAGAAATTACAAGGTGGAAAGTGGCAGCAGAGGAGGAGGCTGCTGCAGGGAGAACTGTTGAACAAGAGGTCATGGCTCAGGTATGCTTCCCTAACTTTTAGGACATCTGAATCATACTTCTTGTCCATAAGGACCATAACTACTTTGGTAAATTGGTTGCGATTCATATATGGCATTTTTCCTCTTTTAATGAGATAGAAGCACAATATCTAAAATCTGAACGTTTCCAGTAATTATAATTACTGACAAGCGAAGTAACTTGAGTCGGTCAAACCAAACTTTGAGCATGCTTTTAGTTGTCCCGGTAAACATACCATGTCCATGGATTCTAGGAGTCATTTTGTTAAAGTTGAAGACGCTGTTGGTCTCTGTGGGGTTCAGGGAGCCGAGTGATTTATTTTTTCTTGAAAAGCTGAAACAATTTGCTTCCGATTTGTCTCGGAGTTCCCCCTTTAAGGACCTGAGATATCTGGGGTTTTGAAAGAGTAGAAAATGAAAACAAAAATTTTAGAAGAAAATTGCTTGCATCCATCTTTTGTCTGTTTAGGGAGCTGAAGGAGTCAAAAACTTTCAACTGTGACCAATAATATCTTTAACATGAACGCATATCTTCATTTTTATCTGCCGTCATCTAACCACTTCAGATTAGTTAGATTGAAAATGCTTTCTTGTGTTTCCATGATATGGTAAGGCCAACTCTACCAGTCAGCATACTGTTACTAAAATCATTCTAATCCGCTATCTGTGAATTATATATTCCACCTTTGTCATGCACATGCAGTTGTCTGTACTGAAGCAGGAGCTTGAAGAGGCAAGGCAGTCCATGTCAGAGTCCGAGCAGAAACTGAAGTCCAAAGAGGAGACTGTCGCTGCTGCTATGGCCGCACGAGAGGCTGCTGAGAAGTCGTTGAGATTGGCTGACACAAGGGCTTCTCGGCTCAGGGACAGGGTAGAGGAGCTCAGCCGTCTACTTGAAGAGTTTGAAACCCGAGAAGATTCTAGAGGACGAAATGGATCGAGATATGTATGCTGGCCATGGCAGTGGCTAGGCCTGGACTTTGTAGGCACTACTACCAGACCTGAAATGCAGCAACAACAACAGACTTCAAATGAGATGGAGCTCTCAGAGCCCTTCTTATGATTGTTGGCTTCACTGCCAAGGAGGGGCTTCCTACGTTAAGTACTGTTTGTGGGTTTGTACAGTACGCTTTCTGTTCGTGAGGAGGATGGACCAATGTGCAGTAACAATAATTTAACTTCTTTCTTTTGCCTTTGCTTTTTTCTCAGTGATCGACGCAAAGCAATTCGTTGTTCTTCTGCAAAATTGCATTTGGGTGTGGTTGAGTTTCTATATGTAAAGCGTTTTACTGCAAATAAATTCATCGCTCTGATCCAAGTCTATAGCTGGTCTCCGACCGTGCCGCCGCCACAAAACATCGCCAAAGCACCCTAAAGATTGAACCTTTCGTTGAATTGCTTCTCTTGGGCAATTCCTACTCTGCCGGCCTAGTAATCCTTCCTCGTATCTTCAAACGGTTTTCTGGTTGCCGCCATTGTTAAAATCTCTAAGCAGCCGGAAGCCCGCGCCATCTCTTCGGCCCCAACGGACCTCCAGTCCTCCACCCGATCGTCATCAATCATCATCATTCGATATTTGCACAACACGGAGGTAACCCCCCACAGAGACAGCAGATTTCGGGGCGGATCAGACATATCAGTTACTAACATAATCCTAAACTTGCAGCGTTCGCAGGCGGGACCGTCAGTTTTGAGGACCAAAACATGTCCAGTGTTGAACAGGACGAAGAAAGCTCGGTCCCTATGTCCAATCCCACGCAAACTCCACCCTCGTGTCAAAACAGAACCCGACCCGACTAACCCGCTCGATCAATTTGACCCGCAACCCCACCGCAATTCGAATTGACTAAAAGTCAACAACCCGTGGCTCGCCCGACCCACAACCCGACTAACCCGCATCCCAACTGATTCGCAACCCGATTAACCCGAACCCGAGTGGCCTGCAACCTGATTAAACCCGATCAACCCGAACACGATTGACCCGAACCCGACTAACCTGTTACCCGACCGACTCAACCCGAACTTCACCTAATCCACTTGAATATTATTATATTATATAATACATAGTTTTTCAAATAAAGTTGTTCATCTTATACTTAGGTAAAATTATTTTTTCATTTTGTATATGAAATTTAAAAAATATGAAAATCACTTGATATTATGTATTTTAAACATAAAGGTCACTTGAACACTAAATTCTTTAACAAAATTAAAAAAATAAATATCAAATATCAAATCACCACAATGTCAATATTAATAATGAAGAATTAATAATTGAGATCATGGACCATATTAATATAATATATTAATAAAAATTATTGTTAATTTAAGTATCCAATAAAGTTATCAATTAAATATAAATAAAGTAAAGTAATGTATTTTGTAATTTGATACTTTAAAAAAAAAAGGAAATTAAGATGCATTCAACTTTTTGGGAAGAGAAAGTTGGTTCTTTGAATTTTTTACAAAAGAAAAAAAAGGAGAATTTTGATAGTTTTGATTTGTGGGAAGAGAAAGAAGTGAGAAAGTTTGGCTTTTTTTATTATGAAAGGGAAATAAATAGGGAATTTTTTAGTTTTCAACTTTTTTGTGGAAGGAAGGAAAGAACAGTGAAATTTTGTTCTTCACTTTTATGGAAGAGAAAGGGGAGGAAAATTGAGTGTTTCTAATTTATGAAATGAGAAAAAAAGGAGGGGAATTTTAGTATTTTAGTTAATTTTCTTTTTGTGAAAAGAAAGAAGTAAACAAATTTGGTTTTTCAAATTTTTGGTTTTTTAAAATTTCGCCATTGATATAAGAATCTTTAATTTTTATATGAAGGCCATGACTAATTAAAGTTTTTCTTATATGCTTTGAAGGCTAATATATATATGGAGTTCTTTACGGTCTAATAACTAAATTAACCATTAGTTACAACAATCATTTGTTCTAAAAAAATTTACTTAATTTATCTAATTGTTTACTATACTTCTACATTTATTGCAACTTCAACCCTACATTATCATTATTTTATAACATTTAAGTAAAATTTGGCACAAATAAGTTGTGTTTGAGTTGAACTTTTATTTCAAATCGAGAGTTAAATTTGGTCTGTTAAGTCATACGACTGAATTAGTGCTGCAAGTGAGCTAAGCTGAGCCAAATTTTGATCTAGCTTAGCTCATGCTTGAAACTAAAATGATCGCTCGAGTTCATACCAGAGGTCGATTTTGGTACAAGCTCGAGCTCAGCTCATTAATTGCAAACTCAGCTCGAAAATGGCCTGTTAATGAGCTCAACGAGCCCAGCTTGATAATCAAGCTCATTAACACCACTAATCCAACCACTATATTGGGTTTTAATAACCCAACCTTAGCTTGACAGCTACAAAGTAGCCATCGGTGGACAAGAAAAGGCTTAGAGTAGCGGCCCATTTAACAGGCCACACATGAGGGCCTTCTCAACATTTATTTCAATAATATAAATGGTGCCCATACTCTTTATATAATTGATTGGAGTAGAAACCTTCTTCCTCTGGCGATGTGATACATTAATTCCTCTTTTTCCCTATCTGAAAAATGAACCACGAGAGACGAGCTAATTTCTAGCATTTTTCTCCTTTATCTCTCGTTTTTCTTCCACCTAACCCACCAGCAATGAAGTTCCTAGAGGACACGTAGATCCTTTATCCTTATCATCCTGCTCTATTAGTTCTATTAATCAAATAAACTTAAAGATGATGAGGATGTTTCGGATATAGCAGCACTTGCTTGTACAAGAGCAGGTGGTTTGACAAGAGTATGCGAGGAGTGGGATGCAAGGTTAAGCGGTATATGGCAGAGAGATGCTTAGGTTAATTTAATGTTTCCAACCTGTTGTCTTTTGATGTCGATGTTAGCAAGACAAGTGAGTTTGCTGTCTTCTACTGTTGATGCGAGGTAAGTGAGTGGGCTATCCTTACTGCTAAGTAGTTGATGAGTTCCTTTATGCTAATATATTGTTTTCAATTGATGACCATTCTATTTTGCAGGGAATAAAGAAATTAATCCATTAAAAGAATTTCATGTTTCATTCTATAACGTGATTTCTATCTATTTGAATTACCTAACATGATAAATTATAATGGGGTTTATTGTGAATAAAGAATACCCTAGAAGGTTAAAAGAATCTCTACTATCGACATGACTTTATGAGTTAATGGTGTTTGCAATGTTAATGTGTATTGGCCAAGTTGGTATTTTGCATAGAGAATGGGTTCATCAAGAATGATGAACAAATAACAATAGTTGGTCGGTCCTCATGAATGACTAATGGATCATGTTGCTTCAATGAAAACCATAACTTTCTTTATTGTTGTATTTGCTTTGGAGCGACTCATGAGCTACAAATCTAGCTAGTTTGCGAGTCGGGCTCAACGAGTCTTCAAACCGAGCTAGATTGCGAGCTTAACAAGCTGAGCTAGACCTAGCTCAAGCTCCGCTCATTTGTAAACGAGCCAACTCATTAAGTATCGAACGAGCCAGCTCATAAGGATATATGGTTAGAGTATGTGGTTAGTGTATAATGTATTGATGGTTTAGGGTATACGATCAACAACATATACTGACTTAATATTGTCGATTGAGGGTAAGGTTAAGTGTATGGGATATATGTTATTCAGTGAGTTATGATTGAAGTCGCAACAATTTTACTAAATTTGATAGTTAATCTTTAATGATTCAATTTTTAGGATAATTTTTACAAATATATAGTTTGACAACAGTTTACTGAAGTTATTTGGACAATAATTTATTTCGAAATAACTCCTTTTACCACTCTGCTTTTTCCAAATACCGCATGCCAAATACTAGATTTGCATGATTATATTAAACGAGATACTTTAACCCAATTATTACTGAAATAATACTAAAATACCAAATAAACAATTAATGGTGTCTTTTGATTTCAAATGTTTGATATCACCATTACTATTAGCTAGTGTACTTTACCAATTACGATTAATTACATAACAAGTTTGTAAGTCATAAAAATTGATTCAACATTTTGACTAGTTTGGTTTTTAATTATATATATATATGAGGTAGAAAAAAATTGGTTAAAAATTGAGAAAAATATTTTAAATTAATGTAATAAAATGTGCAAGTTGATAATGAGTAAGAAGTAAGTTACTCGATGCGTTGACCCGAACAACCCGCAATCCGATCCGCCCACAACCCGCCCGACCCGCAACCCGATAAACCCGCAACCCGATTAAACCCAAACCCGATGAACCTGCAACCCGACTAACCCGCAACACGTTTGAACCTGAACCCACAACCCGATGAACCCGAAATCGACTAGCCCGCAACCCGATTAAACCCAGCCCGAACCAGCCCAATTGACACATGTACCACTACGCGTCTGTAAAAGTAGCCTCTCCACCTATCCCACGTGGCGAAATTGTCGACATTCTGATAGAGGATCATGGTCCAGTCCTCCTCCTCCTTGATGGGATCCCTGGAGAAGGCTGCCGTAATTAACTACTTGCTTCTGGAGTCCTCTGGAGCCACCGATGGACCGTTGAATCCATATGTGTGAGTATGTTCTTTCTATGATTTCCGAGTGCGGGCGTTGGATCAAATCTTAATTCTAGTTTTGCTTTAATGAGGAAAAACTCATAATAACATTCTTGAATAATTTATTCATCTAGTTTCATATAAAAGGGGGTCCCGAACTCGACTCAACTTGCACATTGACCGACACCAATCATAACATACGAATATGTCAGCTCCTCCTAATGGGAAGACACATCATAATCATAAACTTCCACCTAGTGGGAAGTAAGGCAACTGCATGCTATCTAAGCGACGGTTCTTGACGGTCAGAACTACTTGCGATAATTTCAAAGTACGGCTAATCAACATAGCAATTAATTTATCGTACTAAAACCTTAACTCGTTAAACTAATACTTTTAAAATGTTAACCAACTTAAATACTTGGAAAAGTAATCGAGTTAAATTTACTAAGTTGAACTCAAGATTCAAGAAGCATGTCATAACATATGCACTCTATTGAATAAACTAGTAAATTCACTCAATAACTAAAATAGATTAATCTAACTTGCTAATCATATAAAATATTATGTTATCTTCTAATTTAATCTATCGTATTATTCTACCCGACAACTAATATTTTGATAACCAATAGAGTGCATTAGTGACTGATATAAAATTTTAGGGATCTCCTAAGATAATTTGAAGTAAGGTAACTTGAATTTGTTTACCTGCTATATCAGGTTTTACAGGTCGCATTACATAAAATACAATAGGAATTACGTAATAGTTACGTAACGTATGATA